AGCTCAGGTGCTGCCCAGGTGACACGTGAATTAGAGACACGACCATGCTGCTGACTAGCTGGAAGGTCAGTGCACTCCAGTCCCTGGCTTCAGATGCACCGTTTTAGCCCACGCCTGGCACTGAGTAAGCTCCCAGGTGCAGCCCTAGGAGATGGCTCTGTCCTTCTCTTTCCCCCTCGCCTGAGCCGTGGACAGTGACTGGGCGTCTCTGGGCAAAGATTCTCCAGGTAAAGCAGGAGAAAGAAGATCTGGAGCGGTTTTGAAATTAGTAGATGGCTATTTTTAAACTTGGAGAAAACAATAAACACGTCAAACGTCAGCAGGGTCAGCTTGTATCGCAGCATAATCAGCAGGCAGGTGAACGGCCTCAACTTGCTCCCCTAGGGAACTGTGTTGTCAGGCCTGTACTTCTGCACGGGGCATGTGTCTGACCTGTTCATCCAGGTACCGCAGGAAAGGGAGCAGCAATGGTCCCACTCAGGTAAATATCAGGTGACGCCCACAGACATGGGTCTAGGGCCTCCCACATCACAAATGGCAATGGCACACTCAGAAAATGTCATCAGAGATCTGAGAACATTTTCAATGTATTCATTTTTCCATAATGAATGCATGCAGTGATTTTTTTTTTTTTTTTTTTTTTGACGAACTCAGACTGTGTGGCCCAGGCTGGTCTAAACTCGTGAACCTCCTGTCTCAGCCTCCCAAGTGCTGGGATTACAGGTATGGACCAGCACACCCAGCTACAGACAGTAAGGACTTTTAAACATTTAACTCTGATTAAAACTATTCTAGCACTCCTGTTTTGAGCATTTGGACCACTTCTTACTGAAAATTATCCTAAGATTGTGAGGGCAGCTGTATAAAAAAAATTGACTCTATTAGTAATCAACTATATGCAGAGTAAAGAACTCCACCTATTTTAAGAAAAAAGGGAGGAATGCCGGGCTAATATTAAGACTATCATTCGTAGTATAGTATCAAATGTTTGCATAGATTAAAAAACCCGCTTCAGCTTATATAAAGACCCTTATTGTATTTGTGTTTACAATGCTGGAGATCAAACCCAGGCACTAAAAAAAAAAAAAAGCACTCTACCACTGAACTGTGTCTAAAGCCCTCCTTTTACTCAGTAACATTTTAAAGAGTTAATTAAAGCCTCAAAGCACTAGGATTCTTGTCGATGCAGTGCTGACTATAACTTAAGCATTCCAGCTTTTAAGCTACTACCTATTAAACTTCCAAAACTGTGGGAGAAAAACCAATTAAGTGTTGTTTATCAGTTCAACATTCAGTCATTCATTCTGCAAACACTTATTGTAGGTTGTGTCTGACACTGTTGTGGAGAACAGGACAAAGTTCCTTCCCTTAAAGGGACAGAAAACAAGTCAATAATTTCAAACACTAAAAATTGCATCCCCATGTTTCAACATTAACTAAAACAAAGGGACACAGGCTTTTTCACATAAAAAGTAGATGTCATCCAAAACTACTAAGATTCAGAAATGTATGAATAAATTACAGTTAGTACACACAGCACATCAGCACCAAATACAGAATATTAAATGCAGTGTGCAGGAAAAGAAAAAAATGCTGCCGATAAGCCTTCCCCCTGTGAGAAGAAGGCAGCTGACTTTCCCAGTGCGCATTACATGGAATCTGCAGAAGTGACTTAAGAACCGTGTCACTCTGTGCTGGAGCTAGCAGGACGCCCAGTCTGCAAGAGTCTGAAATTGAAAGCGTACGATTTTCATACAGAGCCTGACCCGTTTTAAAGCCACCAAAAACATACAGGCGTATAAGGACAGAAGATTGGCCCATTTACAGGCCACGTCACAAAAGGGCTCTGGCCTGTCCATCTGTACAAGGAAGGAAATGCACACAGGAAGGTGCTGCCAAGCCCTGCACCACCTCCCTTCCGCCTCCCAATTTCGGCAGGAGTAGCAGGATACCTTCCTCTAGATTTACCAAAAAAGGGACGGAGCACTCGTAGCTGACATCTGCTGCCTGACTGCTGTGGTAAATATTTAAAACAGCTGTCTCTATTTTATCTTCAATCACCGTTTTTCTTGTTAGCGTTACCTTGATTTTCAATTTGTTTCATCTACAATTTTTAACGACAATTTAAAGCAGTGCTGCAACCACAATTTTCGGATGAAATTGTGAGTTAGGGACTAAGGAAACTAACAGGCTCCAAACAATAAAAACAAAAGCAAAGTCAGTTAGTTGACCAGGTACGTTAATTTCCACTGATGTAAACACTCTTATGCTCCAGTCACTGTTAAATCCTGCTGAGTATACAAAGCAGACAGCATAATCAAAGGTCCATGTCACCACTTCAATTAGCCACCTTTGCACTGCGGTTCACAGAAGAATTTACAAAAGCAGCATTTCTATGCACAGCAGAATTTCAGGTATGTGGACCAGCTAACTGCTGGCGGGGTGAGTTCTTTCTGGTGGGCTGCATCTTGCATCCATTGATACGAACTAGACCCAAGGAAACGACTCCTCTCTTTAAAGAAAGGAGACTGATAGTCACTTTCCAAGTTTTAAATGGTCCAAATACAGGAAACGACTTACAAATGCAGGTATTCAATAGTTAATGAGCCTAAATAAACAAGAGTCAGAATGAGTTATTATCAATTAACTAAATGATTAGTAAAGCAATGAGGTAGCATTTTTCACTAAAGTTCCAAAACTGCAAAGTCTGTGCCCAATAAACAAAGGTGTAGAAAATTAAAGATCTTACATAATACCAAATTTAGTGCAAACTGGCCTGCATATAGCAAACTGAAAACAGAAAAAAAGTTAGTCTACCTCCAGTGATCTAAAGATAAAAATTCTTAAAAAGGAACACTTGAAATCACTCTTCAACTCTTGGCAAAGAACTAGCATAGAAACTTTGACAATCCAAAGACATTTGTCATGTTATAAAAAAAATTCAAAAGGAATCTAAAATGTTGAATAAACTATGATACAGATATAACCTCTAGATGGAATATTACTTGGTCATTTGAGAGGCAAAATGGCTGAGTGAAAGAGGACTCTCAAAAGTATGCTGCTGTCAGATGCCTGTGGTCACGCCTATAATCCCAGCTACTCAGGAAGCAGAGATCAGAAGAATCACAGTTTGAAGCCAGCCCAGGAAAATAGTTTGAGAGACCCTATAACAAAAGTACCCAACACAAAACAGGGCTAGCAGAATGGCTCAAGTAGTACATCACCTGCCTGAGGTTCTGAGTTCAAGCCCCAGAAACACCAAAAAAAAAAAACTACACTGCAATTACACATAAGTAAAATGTTTGTGTTTAGAAACTGCAGGAGAATTTTCCTACTTGTCTTCTATAATTTGGTTATGGCACTTTTTAAGGCTTTTTTTTTTGGTTTTGTTTTTTG